GTTAAATAAATATGAGGATGCAATCACTTGGCTGGACAAAGCATTAGCTATTGATCCTAAGGATGTTTATTCCTTAAAAGAGAAAGGTAGATTGAATCATAATAATATTAATAGGAGATTGTTTAAGATTATTGAAAAAATATCATGAATCTTTATAATTACTAGATTAAGCACTATCCATAAATCCTCAACATACATTTTCTCTCAACTGTAAGGGTATCTTATCATCTTTAATTGTAGGAGATTGTTTAAGAGATTAATAATAATACAAAGAAGCACTAAGTTATTATGAGAAATCATTAAAGATTGATCAAAATAACCAATATTCTAAAAACTAAAAGGGTACTCATAACTTATTAAATTAGAATTCTGCTAAAAGAAATTGAATCAGTGAATATTAAATATTAAAAAATCGTCATATTCATTTTTTTTGCTATTTTTTTCATTTACATTGATTATATTAGAAAACGTTAGTATTATTCAAGTCCACACTAAATTTCAAGAATTATTTTTATCACTTTATTTTAAGGTTTAGTTCTCAATTTTTATTTAAGATTGTTTTAAGTTATATGGATGGCTTTTCAACTCTTCAATTATCTTATTTATTTTTATAATTATTTGAGTGTAAATTACTATTGATATTATGTGAGAATTATTATATCCTTAAAATATTTGAGTAACATAACACATTTTAAAGAATTTATAAGTTTAATTAGATAATTAATTAAAGTAACTAAAATTACAGAAACTTAATAGAAGTTCAAATAGTATTTACATACTGTATTTTAGCATAGTTATTTCAACTTCAAAGGTCTTGTGAAAATTGAAACTGGAAATTTTTTAATTAAATTCTAAAATTGCTACAAAACAATTAAATAGTCTTTCAGAAGAAGATTTTTGTTAAAGTATCCGTTTATGATACTACTGCTTGAAGAAAATTAAGCTATTGAACCAAGTTATGCCATAGAATTATGAACTAAGAGTAGTAGGAATACTAATACTGATATTTAATATCCTTTAAGAGATATACCAAATAAAGGGAGTACATTACAGTGCCATGTTGATTCTCAATCAATCCCGATTCAATCCATTTAATATAGCCCTTTCTCCTAAAGTTTTGTGTAAATTTTCTTGTAATATCAACTATTCTGGCTAAGTGATTTAAACATATTTATATAATATATCAAAATTTCTTCAATTTTATCTGTTTATACATTTGTCAAAAATGCAATCCATTCCATTGTAAATCTTCATCCTCTGCAAATTTTGCTTATAATAATTTCTCTAACTTATCTAATTAGAAAATAGCCAATAATTTAGAAACTTTTCCTATTTTTCGTTTGGTTAAAAAAATAATTACTCAATTAATATAATTGGCCTAACTCAAACACTCGATTTTATTTCTCAATTTTTATGATAAAGAACAATAAACTATCTGAGATAAAAAATTCAGAGAAAAAATTTGAATTTGACTTGATTGACTGAAGTAAATGGAAATCATTCATCATTAAAGCGTTATCACATATTAATATTAGAGACTGAACACTATTCATGATTTAAGTAGGACAGAACTGAGCATTAGATAAATTGAATGACACTTCAAATAGAAGTTTATCTTCTATTAAATTAGACATATATCTAAAAAGCCTAGTGCTTTTGGTAGAAGGAAAAAAATTAATAGGATCTTAATAGATAAATCCAACCAGATTTAAAAAATAATAAATTAGAATAACAAAGAATAAGAATCATACCCAATACTATTAAAAAATTAAAATTAATATCATTTACAAAAGGAAGTTTGTGTGATTTAGTGATCGGAGAATAATGCAACATTGGTAGATTGGTATTTGTTCTTTAGCAAGGCATCTTTCCTGTTTAAGCTGCTATTTACTTCCATTTAGTAAATAATTGAAATATATAAATCTGGTTGGGAGAGCTTAAAATTTGTCATCATCATCTTAAATAATGAGTGTGCAAGCAGTGAAGTGAGTAAAAAGTCTTACCATCTTATGTATTAAGATTTTTCTTTTCGAAAATTTTTGTGATTAGAATTATTCACAGCAAGGAGCAAATTTTTTTTAATTGTTGATGTCTCTGCACATTTTTTTATATCAATCTATTTCTATGTGCATTTATAGGTTGTTACGTTTGTAATTGTTTAGCAGATTATTAGTATTGCTACCATTTAACATTAACAAATAAATGACCTAAATACTATTAAATCCATTAATTCTATTTTTCCTCATCAACTGTTACCAATATTTAAACTTAATAATTCTCTTCTTCATTTTTTAAATTATATCCTCTTATTTAATTTATCTTTCTTAATATGGATATATTCATCTTTATTCTTTTCTTATAAACTGATGTGAAGACCTCATTATTGCAAAAATAATATTCATAAACTTTAACTTTTACAGCATTTAGAGCATCTTACACTATTAGGCATAAATAATCACATAAAGTCTCTAAGTCTAATTTAAATATAATTAAATGTAAAAATATTTTTCCATAGATAGTATAGTGCTTTTTTAAATAAAATTTATTTTGTTTTTAAGAATTTTCACCTCGAACTTGGATAGAAAGTTATGATAAGTCGAGATACTTTATCATCAGTTTAATTATTATTTTAGTTTCCTTTTTGATATTCTAATCTTTCTTAAAATCTTTTTCTGATAGCTTATTTACAATATGTGCGAAAAATTAAATTTTAGAGAAAATCAGAATTAATATCCTTCTAATTAGAAGAGCACAAAATTTATTTCGATATTTCTGTGCAATGATAGAGCTTTAGTGGATGTTTTATCTTAGAGAAAATCTCCTCAAATTTTATCATACAGTTTCTTATGTTGCCTTATAAATTATATCATTTATGCTCTAGCATTTTATAATGATTTTGTAATCTATCAGCTCTAATGACTCTTTAATTATGATTTAATTTTGCAATTTAAAATATGGAATGATGAATCATGTTTTTATCTTTGATATTGTTTCAAGACACAAGGCCAAATTGAGTAAATGCCATTTGACTTAATCACATAGAAAATAAAGGTAAAGGTTTATGGGATGTGCAAATAAGTTTTGGACAAAACATTATAGTATCATAAAAGTTGTTTTACTTTTGAAGACATAGTTGTTTTATAAGGTTTATGAGAAATATATAGTTAAATTAATTAAGATATATATAATAAATAATTATATGCTGAGAAATTTTTTTTTAAT